GAGAGAGATGTGCGACATTGTATTTACGTGTTGTCAATGTATACTTGAATTCACGAACGCAATCATAAATACTGCTAACAAGCGATCCAGCGATCATCACTTCCCTAAATGTTCATGTGTCGCTTCACACACGCACACGCACACACGCGCGCGCGCACACACACATGCGCAAACGAAACGCACGCACTCACACACGCACGTACACACGCACACACACACACACACACACACACACACACACACACACACACACACACACACACACGCATACACAAGTGCGCGCGCAAACGAAACACACGACCCCCCAATAATCTTCTGCAATCACCGACAATGTTATAAGCCGATCTTAGCGGCTCTCCGCCGATCTTAGCGGTTTCAGCCGATCTCCGCTGATTTCAGCCGATCACCTCCGATCACCTCCGCCGATCTCTGCCGATCTCCACCGATATCCGCCGATATTAACCGAACTCAGCCGATTTCAGCCGATCTCTGCCGATCTCTGCCGATCTCTGCCGATCTCTGCCGAACTCAGCCGATCTCAGCCGATTTTTGCCGATCACTGACGATCTTCTAGAATCTCTGACGACGCGTCGGCGACGATGCGTCGGCGACGATGCGTCGGAGACGATCAGGCGCACGGCCGACACATGCACTCGAGCGGCGCGTACGTTTTCACGCGACGGTAGCCGACAGTGTCGCCAGCGCACTTGAGCCGTACGTGCGCCTCTCGCTCTCCGACCTCCTGACAGCACATGCACGATCGCTCCAGCCGCAGGTCGGCGTCGAGCCGCAGCTGCACGTGCGAGCTGCAGCGGCCCTGGCAGGCGAACGACGGGATGCTCTTCGGAAGGCAGCCGGCGTGTCGCAGCACGTGTATGACGCGTCGCAGCCGGCAGAGGTCGTTGCCGAGCCAGTGGCTGCCGACGCCGTTGCCGCGCCAGCTGCCGACAGTCGCGCCAGACTCGACGAGCATTTCGGCGACGAGCAGCAGCGAAACGATGAGATTCACGCTCGCTGTCGGGCGCATGGCGGCGCTGCGGTCGCGCTTCCGCATCAACGTCCGGTGTCGGTGA